TAGTTACATCATCCCATTGGGAGATGCTCCACCCAGAGGGAGGAGCCAAGCATTCCTGCCACCATAAAACAAGCACTTCTGAGACCACAGACAGCCTTCTTCGCTGGATTTCCGAGAGGAATCAGGAACCGAGGCCCAGCTGCTCCTTCGCCGCATTTTCGGAAGGGATCTACACCCTTCTGCAGATCGCCGCTCCAGGAGGAGCAGCCACCATTTGGCTGGACTGCTATCAGCACCCTGACTTCTCAGGGTGCCAGGTTTTTTCTCACTCTGCCAGTGGTTGTTTTGCTTGTGTTAAATTACATTGTTATTTAGTTATTTTTTTTTTTTCTTCCAGTAAAGAACTGTTATTCCCGTTTCCCATATCTTTGCCTGAGAGCCTTTTTTTTTTAATTCTGAAGTTGTGATAATTCGGAGGGAGGGGGTTTACCTTCTCCATTTCACAGGAGGCTTTTGCCTTCCTTCACAGGCTCCTGCCTTTTCAAACCAAGACATGCTGGCAGGACTAAAACAAGATTTACTCATAGGCACAGGAGCATGTTCACCCTCATCTTTGGAATTAAATGCCAAATTTAATTCCCGCTGACTCCCGGGAGTTCAGAGCAAGGACCTGAGATTCTGTGATGCTGCACAAAGCAGCAGGGCATACACAACATTTCACCCATAAAGATGAGAGCATCCACATATTGAGTGCTAGGACTGGGACACCCCAATGACCACTTCCTCCCCAAAATGGTCAGTTCTTTCTTTATACAAACCAGTTTAATAGACAGGAAAAATTATGGTTTTATTTAGATTTTTTTTTAATCTTTCCAATAGCTGATTCTTCTTTAATGCTACTGTTATCACAAATTCTGCAGTTCAGTTTGTGACTTATATCTGGAGAGATCTCTGGTTACCACAGTAATGGCATGTTTTAGTTGTGTAACCGACCCTTGCCATGGATGAAACAGGCATCACTAGTTTATTGAACTTCATTCATGGCATTAATTCATATAAATTAGAATACAACTTTTAATCCACACACTGACAATTTTTGACAATTTACAAGTCACATAAACATGCTTGCTGTGTAGTTAAGATACATAGGCCTACCAAACTTTGGTAATAAGGTTTAATATTTAAATGATGAGAAGAAGAAGAAGAAGAAGGAGAAGGAGAATATTTTTTAATAAGTGAGACAGCCAGTAGCAATTGCCCAACACATGGGATAGAGCATGGTAGATGGTGAAGGCAATGGGCCAGGTCCTAATACTGGGAATAACCCCCATACCTCAGTACTCTAGAGCACTGAATGAGGTTAATCCAAACTTCATTATCTCCTGGAATTCATGTTCCTCAGATAGAAGTGGTGATGCTTGGTGGAGATGAATGTTATTTATCTGCAGCTGATCTTTCCCAAGGCCATTGACAGAAAGATAGATGGAAAACATTTATTCTCTCTGTGGCTTGTATAATTTTCATGCAATGCCATCAGACCCTCCAGCTGTCTGTCACTTTGCACTAAGATTGATGTAAAATGCTGAAAGAGGGGAATAAAGCTGATGATAATAACAAACTATCCAGTAATTTGTGCTTGATAGTACCCAAAACTTACTGACATGTTACCTTCATTCAGTAATGCTGTTCCCTGACACCTGGATTATGCTGCATCACCAGTTCCATGCTATTCAGGCCTGGGTTTTCCTGCCATCCTGGGTTTTCCTGCCATCTGTACACACAAGTAAATATACCTTAGCCAAACATCGGGTTTCAGTCAATTGGCAGCTACTTCTTAGCTGGTACCAGTTTAAAAGGGATGATGATGTCGTTAAAATTAATCTATTTCCCTCATGGAAGGGACCCACCTCCTGCAGGACCTGTTGAGGTGATAGGGGTTCCAGGAGAGTGAACCTGGCTGGGCAGATCCTGAGGCAAATGTCTCCTGGATGTGGGAGAACAATGACAAATATATCAAACAAAGGCTCTAAAAGACACCTATAGATATCCAGGTTCATTAATTGTTATCCAAAATACTGATACTAGTACAAGAGCTCCATGCCTCTGACTGACTGGTTTGCAAATTATTTTTCTTCAGGGTTAAATAGAAAAATCACCCTACATTTCCTGGTGTCAAAGCAACTTATAAAAATGTTTTCCACAATAAAGTTGACATTAATTAGCTGAGCTCCAGTGAGGTTTCACTGTCTGGAAAAGAAATCCCTCAAAAGGCTGGAAAAAGGGTCTTTATTAAAGTTTTTCTGTGATTACATAATATGTATCTGCGCCCATCCTGTATTACTTGAGAAGCAATTATGCTAAAATGACACTTGCTGAGATGGCAATAAAACTGCCATGTAAAGTGCCAGTATAACTGCTCCAATAACTCATATAATATATTTATCTTTTTAAAAAGTGTCCAGCCTTATCTATATTTTATTTAAAAAGGAAGACAGAGTACCAACTGCAAAAGCTGTAACTGTGTGAGAATCCTCTGGAGTAAGAATCACAGAACAGACAAAGAACAGAGGGTGGAGTGCTTTCCTGCAGTGCCCAGCCTGTAAGTTTGGAACATCACAGAGTCTAGAGTCACAGAATATTCTGAGGTGGAAAGACCCACAAGGATCACAGTGTCCACCTTCCAAGAAAATGGCCCATATGGGGATTGAACACACAGCCTTGGTGTCAGGGCTGAGGCACAGGAGGGTCCCTGGGGCGAGCGACCCCTACCATGGGCACTGGGCACAGGAGGGTTCCCAGGGCCCCTGGCACTGGTGTTGTCAGGGCTGTGCCACACTGTCACACCACCGTGTCCTCGGGGAGATGCTGCAGCTCAGCCATGGCCAGCTCTGCTCTGGCCTGGGGACAGGGCTCAGGGGGAGCTGGGGCTGGGCCAGGGGAGGTTTAGGATGAATTTCAGGGAAAGGCTCTTCCCCAGAGGCTGCTGGCACTGCCCAGGCTCCCCAGGGAATGGGCACGGCCCCAAGGCTGCCAGAGCTCCAGGAGCCTTTGGCCAGCGCTGCCAGGGATGGACAGGGTGGGATTGTTGGGGGTCTGGGCAGGGACAGGGGCTGGGATGATCCCTGTTGGTCTCTCCCCTCAGGAGATTCTGTGTGATTCTATTATCTCATCAGCACTCAGAGGCACATTTCCACATGGGAAAACACTGGAGTGTTGCTTTTCTCCAGGAGGCTGAAAAGTACAACCAAACATTTGTGCAATGACCTAAATCAGAACCATACAATGGTTTGTAACACCATGAATTGCAAATAAAAACAAGTAAATAATGCATCAATTTTTGAATCTGTTAATTCTAAATGAGCTGTTATTCTGCTGCACAGTCCCATACTCTTACAGGGAATTAGTCCTTGGCTATTTTTATCCCATGTGCTGTCTTTCCATATGAAAACTAATCTGAAATTAATTGTACGGAAAACTAAATTTGGGGAGAAAAAAATTGAAAAATGTCTGATGGCTTGACAACTCTCTGCCCTGCATGGCTCTTTGTTCTGTTGGACTTTCCAGGCTTTGTCTGCACCCAGGGCTCTGCAGGACGTCCATTCCCTGCACCCACAACCTAAATCCATCTGTTTGTTCTTCAGCACACTGCTGATCACTCAGTCCCCGCCACAAAGTGGGTATGGAAGCAATACCCCAGCAATGCCCCCGTCTTTCACTTGTGTTGCTTTTTGCATGTTTGGTTTGCACCAGCCAGCTCACACCCTGTGCACACCAAGTGCAGCTTTCCAGCTGCAATTCTTTCCAGGGGCTCTTATACAACGTCGGCACAGCAAAGTGCTCCTTGGGAACTGTGTAAAAAGGGGGGGTTGTGGCTTTTTATCCTAAAAGTGAATACAGAAGCCAGCTCTGTTTGGTTTACACTGAAAGAGTCTTCCTTCAGTGCATTGGACAATAAAGTTCAACCACTTTCAAGTTCCACCTCTTCCCTAAAAGCAACTTCTCAGCTGAAGTAATTGTGTGAAACATAAACAAACTGTTACACTCCCTCAAGAAGCTATTAAACATGGCATGGTAAGTCAGGAATTTGCATATGGCTGATTGTTTAGTAAACAAACTTTCTCCTGAGAGGACTGTAATTAATCTTTTGCATCAAATCTGTTGATTAGTCTTTCTGGGAATAATGCTAGACAATACAAGCAGGTGTAAATCATGATATCACTTTCTTTGAAATATAGGATTAAATATGGCAGTAAACAAATTTTAAGTGCATTTTTTAAGCTTTGGAATCTTTAGTAAAAGATTATTTCTGCTTTTTGCATCAAAACTGAAGTTCATGCAACCCTTACCCTTTGGTATTCTTCTGTTAGAAAAAAAATAAGAAATCTGAATTTGCCTTCAGATTGTTTAACAACCTACAGGCTGTTGTATTTGTCAATGAGTGTTACACTGAAAGTGTAAAACGAAATGTATGCTTAGATGTGCATTGCTGTCTGTAACAGGGTTGAATTTTTTTTTTTTTTTTTTTTTTTTTTTTTTTTTGTGTGTATTTTTTTTTGTAAAAGGGTTTGATTTTTTTTTTTTTTTTTTTTTTTTTTTTTTTGCTATTATTACCAGCACAGCTCAAAGGCAGCTGACATTGACCCTGTGCACCAGGGCTGGTGGAGAGATCCCCCGCACACCGTGGGCACCTTGCTGTACCTGCCCTGCCCCTCTTGCACCAGTAGCATCCTGCCACCTGCGGGCCTGAACCCAGAATTTCTCCCAGGGACATCATTCAGAAGAGGCAAACTGATAAACCCCTCAGCAGTGCAGGCTGAGACCAGGGAGTGCCTGTGCTCAGTCACTTGGGCAGTCAGCTGCTGTCAGAACAGGCGATTGTGGAAACAATCTTGATCGCCCAGGGTCACATTTGGGCTGCTGACATCTCTCACAGGGTGATAGCTGGGCTGCTGACGCCCCTGCCAGCCCTGCAGGACCAGCCCACCCCACGGGCAGCTGGCAGCTCAGTGCTCTGAGCACGGCAGCACAGCCCTCCTGGCCTGAGCTCAGGCCTGCGCTGGGCCTGGCACGCTTGCTGCCTCGCCTTGTCTGGAGCATGCGCCAGCTTCTTTCCCTGGGACACTTGTTCTCAGTGATAACCTCTCAAAGGACAAAATCAGTCACATTTTCATGCTCTTCCTTGCTTTAGGAGAGTCTTGGTGAATTTCCCTGAGTTCCCCAGAGCTGTATCCGGTGTGGCTAGAGATCAATCCCCTCCTTGGCATTGCTGCTGTCCCACTTGGCAGATCCCAGCACCCTCCCTGCAGCAGCACTGCCTGGATCCACACAATGTCCCACTGGGGCTATGAGGTTTTTCACATAACTCCGGATGAGCAAAAGTTTCAATTTTTAATAAAGCACCAGGAGAAGGGCCAATGTTTTTATGACATTTGGTTTATCAGCTGTTAATTTCTATTACTCTTGTTCACTTCTGTTTCCCAGAGGCAAAGCACAGGACAGCTCTGAGAATCTGCAGAGGGAAAGATGACAAAAATATCAGCTATTTTAACCAAAGTCTTCAAGCAGCTAAGAAAGTCTGAAAGATATCATGGAAAGGTTGCTATTTATAGAGACATAGCTGCCAGCTACCTTAGATTTTAGTTTTCAGATATTTATTACAAATTGTTGAGGTGGATATTTGTGAAAATAACAAAATCACATCAAACTTGCCAAAATAATTTGTTGATTATTAATTTTTTTTAAAGCACTGGAACATTAGGTTAGGAAAGTAAAAAGGAAACAGTAGACTAAAAGTTATATCATAGTGAAAATATACAAGAACATTCCTTTTCTCCTGACAATATAGGACAGAAGTGTAAAAGGCTGAGGAATAAGGTGTGTAAAACCACAGCATGCAGCTGTGTCAGAATTGTATGTGATGTAAACAAAACAATCATATTGGAGTGAACTGCAAAATTACAGCCCAAGGAATCTATTTTCCCACAAAAATTCTATCACACCTTTCTAAAAGCGGTTCCAGCGCATATACATTTTCCACGTTCCTAGAAAATCCCCAAGACAGTTCTTCTGTGCTCTGTAATTCAGATAGAAGAAAAATCAGATGACAGTGCCAGGCTCAGACCAGGCAGTCCTGGCAGCTCTGTGGGCACTCTAGGGGATGTGTCTGGGGTTTGTTGCCTCTGCAGGGCTGGTAAAACCCACCAGCCCATGAGAAGCAGCAAATCCTCCAGGAAGATGCTTCCATAAGGCATGCAGAGATTAATTTATTGCTGCTGTGCATTCTGACCTGGGCATTGAAAGGACAGCAGATTGCAGCCTCACTGAGGCAGAACACAGCACCACTGCTATAACTGCCAGGGCACCTACCCCCCCATGCCCTGGTAGCACAGCCTGTCCTTTTGAGGGCCTAATGACTAATTAGAGCTAACAACATAAATGAGGACTGCTATTTCAGACAGACAGCCATGACAGAACAATAGTAGGCAAGGTGCTTGGGGCAGGCCAGGTTCTGCTGGGGGCAGCAGCATGGTCAGCACCCCCAGGGCAGGCTGGCCCAGCTCCACCAGTGCCACAGGGGGGCAGGGGCTGTGCCCAGCTGTACAAGCAGCTCAGAGCAGCACTGAGGGGATCCAGAAGTCCCAGGTGTGCCCCATCTTGGGTTTCTAGGGATGCCACAGGCCCCAGCAGCAGACACAGCAGGGACCCAGCCATGCAGCAGGATGAGGGGAGGGCAGGTGATCTTGGTCTGACTTGCTGCAAGCTGCCCTCTGCAAGACTGTGCCACCTGCCACAGCTGGCCCTTGGGACATTCTCTGTTCCTGCTTTAATGCTTGTGGCTGCCACAGTCCATCAAGAGCCTTGCCAAGAGAAGTCCTGCACAGTCACGAGTACTGTGTGAGAAGAGGCTGCTTTTCCTCTACCTTTCCCACAGAAAGAGATTTGTGTTGTGAAGTTGGGCACAATAAGGTGGTATGGATTCAAGTTGCCTGTTCCATTCTCCTGGGGGACCAGAGAACAGCAATCATATGAGAAATCCCACCTGAACCATGGATACAGCAGAAAAGAAAAACAATCTTCTGCACCGCTGAAAACAATAGGTAAGACACAGAACTACCAGTCAGTGGAGCTCCAACACAGAAAGACTATGTGGACAGTCCTCAATCTCTAGGAGAATTCTCTCAAGAGAAGAAGCCGGTTTTTTCATTATGAAAGGGCAATTAAAACAAAGAAAATGAATTCTTTTCCCATATTTCTGTGACTAGTTCCTCCCTTATGTGAAATAAAGGTAGGTGAGTCCCAGAGGTTCAGCCTTGAGGCTGCTAAGTTTAGTCTTGCTGCTGCTGGGCCATGAGGCATCTCAGAAAATAACTGAGAAATACCCCCCACACTTTGGAAGGTGACAAGCTTCTTCCAGAGCACCTGCCAAGTTCTGCTGCTCTGCATGCCATGAGTCCATGAGCCAGTCCAGAGGCTTGACTCAGTGCAGCTGAAATGGCTCTTTAAAGATCAAATAAAGGTAAACACAAAATGTGAGCAGCGATTAAACACTCTTCAATGGTGATATTTAATTTCTTATTTGCTGGTTTCAGATCACACACTGATGATCCCTTCTCACTTTCAGCAAGCCCCCATGTGATGGGCAGCTGGAATTGAGTTTCTTCAGGGCAAGCACCCATGTTTCTCTTTCACAGCCTGTGACCAGTCTGTTGAGCCCTGGGAGCTCCTTGCACTCTGCCATATACAGTATCTACAGTACCAGCCTCTCACCACGCTGCTCCTAGCTGGCAAAACCTGCTGGGCCAGGGCCTCAGGTGAGCTGTGCCTTCTGTTTCCCTGAGGAGATACCAGGGGTACATCACCTGCCTACAGAGTTACTTTGGATGGTATGTAGAAGCTGAATTTGAGAGATTTTTCGTTAACTTTGTTTAAAGAAAAAGGCTCAGAAAACTGGTCAAATCACATGGAATATATTTTGCTGAAAGCAGAATTATAAACAATGGCTTTAAAGAAAATCTTTTCCCTAATTATTCCTTTCCTGTACAAGTAATCTTTAGGGACTATGGGAAAAGTTATCTAGAGAACAGTTTTCTTGTTCTACTTCGGTTTTTGCTAAAAAGAAAATATTTCTGCATGTAGTTGGAGAACAAGTTTGGCAGGTATTTCTTTGTAGTCACTAGAGTATGAATAGTGACATTCTGGACCAGTGGAGGTCAGGAGAAATTTTGGTACTGGTTTTTTCTATACTCTAGAACTTCCATCTGAGTGAGGCTGTGGAAGCTGAGAGGTCCTGTATGGCATGCCACTGTCTGGCTGCTGAATGCAACCATGGAAGGAAGTCTCAAGGGTGCCAACATTGTCTTCCTAAATTTCAGCCCTGTTGCATATTTAAAATTTGGCAATTAGTATAAGGAATCAAAGTAATCTCAATTTGAAGTACTTTAAGTTACCTCATTAGATTCAATATTAATTTCTTCATCATCTCATCTCAATTACATTTCCATTTCAAATTATTTATCTCTGATAATTCTAATCAATTTTATATTTTGCTAACAACAAGTATGATCTTGGTGGATGGCTGAAGCACTTGAAGGTCACTGCATCAGGCAAGTGACCCTGTGACAGACCATCCCACAGTGCATGTCCTGCACAAGGAAAGTCCCATGGGAGTGCACAAGCTAATAATGGGTGTTTTTATTACTGCACTTTCCTCATCTCCCAGGTTTGAAACAGCTGTCACAAAAGCAAAGGCTCTTCTTGCTGGGTCAGGGGCTGAAGATAGCAGTGGCTGGAGACAGCACCTTCCCTGACTTGGCAAGGCTGTCTGCAAGGTGGCTCACCTGGCTGCATGTGCACTCTCATCTTTAATTCCTTTGCCAGCACAGAAAAGGATCCCTGAGTGCCAGGAAAGCTCGTGCTGTGTAGCTCAAGACCAAATCTGGGCCAGCAGGAGAACCACCCTGCACCAGGGCAGCAGGTGTACTGAGCTATTGGCTGTGCTTGCTGCAGCACCAGAGACCCTGGGGTAAATTGTATTTAAAGTAAAAACCCACTGGGCATATTGTGGCCATATTGTGCCTCAGGAAGAACTGCCTTGAGGGGAGGAGGATAACAAGAGACAACCAAAGCCTGCTGGTTTGAGGACCAGCTGCTTCAGCAGAACCCCTGCAAATTGCATCTCACTTCTGTGTCTCCTGCTGTCCCTTACCCTGGTGTTTTCCTTGTGTCACTGACCATCACCTGGCCAAGAGCTACTGTAGGTTTCATTTGCATGCTCAAAGCACATTTAAAGAGATGCTGGCATTTTTCCAAACCGAGAAAAAGATCTGCTAATATACTGGATAATATGTTACACTGTAACATAATGTCAGAATGAAAAATTGTTCTGAGCAATCATTAAAAGCAAAAATTAAACTATAAAGTACAATCAGCCCTTGAATGTAAAATCACAATTTAAACTCATACTTTATGAAGACATAGGCATAAAGAGAAACAGAAATGTTTAAAATAATTAATAATTAATAACTTTAACAGAACTTAAAGTATTCTTTGATGTCTAAAGTTTTAACAAGTGAAATAAAAGCATGACACATTATGAGACCACATGTCCAGAAGCTGGGTTTTGAAAAGAAAATACTATCATGAGATTTCTCATCAGAATTACAAAAATGACAGCACTGAGAGTGCCTGCTTCCAGAACTGAAATATTAACTTTCTGTGAAAATAACACTGTCAGAGAAAAAAAACAAACCTCTGTTCTATGTTTCTGATGCACTGATAGGTTCCTTCACTTTCAGCTAGAGCTAACTAGCCAGGAAAGACAAATGAGGAGGATTTTTGTTAAGAAAGATGGATTCGAAGTGCTGTTATTTATAGTTTTTTACTGGCCTACTTATGCTTATATTGTTACAGTTGTGTTGACTGTTAAAAAGTAGTCAATTTCCCCATGAGAATTCCAGAGTGTATTATAAAAAGTAAAAATCCCTAAAAGTAGAAATTCACAATAAATGAAAAATAAACTTACAAAACCCCATAGGTCTTAGAGCTGAAAATCATGACTGAATTTAAACTTGAAACTTTGAGTGAAATATGTAAGATATAACATAAGATACTTGAAAAATGAGGAATGCCAAAGGATCTAAGTATTGGATCTCTCCTCAAAGAGAATCCTTTTCTCTAACATCTACATGCCAGGAGCTGCAGTGTGGCACCAGGAGACAAAGGAACCCAACAGTGCTGAAAAGCTTTTGTTTGCTTAGTTTCAAAACTTTCAAAAGTTTGGGTAGTGTTCAAAAAAGTGATCTCACCAACCTGTCTCTAGTGACAGCTGCTTCCTGTCTCAGCATCTGGGGACCGACTTTAAATAACTGATGTGTGAACAATTTGAACTCCCCTGGTGTGTGAGAAACCTCTGAAAAGCAGAATAACCCTCAAGATGTGTCTTGCAGGCTCCACTGTGGCAGCAAAATATGCAATAGCAGCAAAAGACAATCCACTTTTTTTTTTTAATCTTTGCATAACTCTTAGAATCTTTGAAGAAGATTAGTGTATGAGGCGAATCAAAGAACGGATGAACTACATCCAACATAAACTCTGGAACAGTGTATTAAATCAGTTTCTTTTCAACTCCCCGATAGAGCAACAAATGAAAGCTTCAAACGTTCCCTCTTGAACTGTTTTTAAGAAAACTGGGTAGTCCTTTTCTTATCTCTGGAGTACTTATTAGCCTCTGTCTTCAACAGGTGTTCCATTTTGACTTCATCCCTTGATGGGTCATTTGAGAAATTTACTTCTTCCTGAAACAGTCTGCCGCTTTTCAGTGTATCACTGTTTCTGAAGGGTTTTATCCCTATTTCAGGAGTGCTTTATAAAGAGCTGTAATCACTTGTGATTCAAGTTAGTAAATATACAACCCCTTTTGTTTTCTTCTAGCAGAAGAGATTCTTATGAAAATGAGTCAGATTCTAAATAGACTGTCAATGTATAATTTGGGGGTGTTGAGTGTTTTTTGTTTGTTTGAGTTTTTGTTTGTTTGGTTTGGTTTTTTTGTTCGTTTTAAACTAAACTCAGAGAACTGAAATTATTAAATCAGCTAGTTCACGACATTTTCTGTGGATCTTATGTATTTATGTATGACTTGAAAAAAATTCATAATATAATTTTAATAAGTATATAGGTCAGATTTGAACCAAGTATTTCAGTGTCAGTATTTTGAGGTATTGAGGTTTGTAATCCCACTGTCTAGTCTTGTTTGCTTTTTGTTGCAAAGAGAACACACGAGATAAGAAAAAAAACAAACTGTATAACCGTTCAAACTCTGGTGAAGGAGCCAAGTTTCCTGTGGAGCAGAGCTCCATATCAAGTCAGAGCAGCTACTCTGAAGAGTTGTGCTCTCTCTACACCTGTCTGGGCTTTCACATCACATCAATCACATCAGTCACATCACACAGCTCACACAGGTTTCTGCAGGAACCTGCCTTAGCACTGCCTGTCTAGGAGCCATAGAGCAGGGACCTTACCAAAGCTCAAGTTCACAGACACTAGCTCACAGTGTCAGGAATAACCAGAGTATCCCAAGGGCCTGCAGAGTTTGCAGCACACTTATACATCTCCAAAACCACAAGAAACATTTTGAGATGTACTTGTATGATTTTGAAAAGTGGCCCTGGTGGCAATCAGGGGGCTCCCCATGCATAGGAGTGCTGGGAAAATTTCAAATGCAACCAGGCTCCAGTGTGTCACAGTCCCCTGCTCCATTCCCAAGAGACAAATTGTCATTTCACTGAGTTCAGGCCCTTCTCCCTGCTCCCACAGAACCCAGACAGATACAGAAGCAGCTTATCTCTGCTTACTTAGCTACTGCTGAAGTCTAACAGCATAATCTGGCATTCAGATTTCAAAAGACCCCATCCATCTGGTACTTTAACAAAGCCTTTTTTGCCATGTTGTTCTGTGCAGAGTGTTGGGAAGATACAGTTGTGTCCTCCACTTTAGAAATACACTCTTACCTTTGAGTTAATATTATGTGTAAAATACTTTATAGAGAAGCACCATAATGTGATCCTACAATCCAGCTGCAGATTATTCATACAAAAAATTTAATTACAAATGACAGAATAACTGTCATTTATGTTTCAGTTGAAAAGATTCCCTAATAGAATAACCTGCTTCTTTTGGAGAAATAAAATTTGCAGTATAGTTCTGTCTCTATGGACACTTAAAATTTCCTGGAGTATAGTCCATGGCTTTACAGACAGGGGCTAATTGCTTTCATAATGAGTAATACAGTTTGAAAAATAATAATTTTCAAATTTTCATGCAAGCTGATCTTGTTAGCTCTATTTCAGACAACAGAGTTTTACAACAGCTTAAAATGTAAAGGCCTGTTCTTAAAAAAAAAAAAAAAAAGAATCCCACTACTATTGTACTATTGTTGTGGAAATTTACTACTTATTTTGTGGTAATCAAAATCTTTCTGATTATTAAGTTCATATGGCCATTAAAGAAAATTCAAGCACATAAAGTAGGGATATTACAAGTTCTGATGACAGCCATTTAGTCATAAAACTATTTTGGTGACAGCCTTTTAGTCATAAAACTATTCTGAATTTATTTTTAAATTAATTAGAAAATACAAGTTATGGGTAACGACAAGAAGCTACAAAACAGAACCTAGAAAATATCCAAGTAGAAAGATTAGCTTCTACACTTGGTTTCATTATGAGATCACTTGTAATTAAACATATACCAGATTTAAAGACTGATTTTCTAAAACTTTGAGTCACTAAGAAGATTATTCATTTTGTTGTGTGTTTTCCTTGGTAATCCATCCATTGCACCCCTTCCAGTGCTAAAAATATTGTCATTCTTCTGGTACACTGCCAGCATGTCAAACTCAAACCAGTGATATCAGCCCTATTTCCCTCACTGGAAAAGTACTTCAGTCACACTATATAATTTTCTAGAGCAGCAATTTTGACATGGTGCTTCACAGGCTACTTCAACATGTTCTTTGGAAGGTAGGTATGTTTGGAAGGTGCTCTCAGACACATGGTGGAATTCTTGGGGTGTCCTGTATAGGGACAAGGGTTGGTCTTGATGCTCCTGATGGTCCCTTTCAACTCAGAATATTCTGAGATTCAACACAGAAGCTCTGCCCTTCACTGGAAAGTGCATTGTATCAGTCCATAAATCTGAAGTGATGGTGAAGTATTCAAGCAGAGCTCTTGCCCCTCCTTTTCCTCAGTCTTCTTTGTGACACCCATGCTTGCTTTTCCAGAGTTTGTCCAAAGTAGCTCCAAAATGTACTCTGTTCTTTGCTCCCTTGACGAGTCCAGTAAATGGTGTTTTTTTCCAGGGTTCTGCCAAGGTACCCACAGAGCAGCACAAACAGCCCAGACCTTTCTCAAACAGCCTTAAAGCAGGACTGAGAATTCACAGGTAAGCATGTTGGTTTAGGATTCAAAGGGACTTATTTAAGTTGTGTGGAAAAGATGAAGTTCAAAGCACACTAAGCATTTCATTTGGCCATCAGCTCAACAACTCTAAAATTGCTTCAAATAACAGCAAAGAATTTGGGGTTCTGTGAGCAGAAAAAATTCTTTCAAACAGAAGGGCAACATACATGCAGCTATCCATCTGGTATGTTCATACTGCATGTTTTTACTTGCAAATATATTTTTAACTTCTCTCAGGTCATTGCATATATAAATTTTAAGAAGTCCTCTAATCACTACTAAGTTCTGAACAGAAGGATAGAGGGATAAGACTGGCCTCTTTGATTTAAAATGATCTACAGGTGTTAAACATATCTGGCTGAGACAGTCTGTAAAAGTCAAGGAACGACTTTTAAAATTTCTGATCTTCATCAAACCTAATATGGTCTGCTCTTCCAACACTTGCAAAATAATAGAATGAGAGTTTAAAATGTGGTTTTTGATTATTCTTCTGGTCTGAAGAAGCAGGAAAATTTATAAACTTTCTCACATGAAAGCAACTATTTCTAATGCTATGTAATACTTACAGTGCTTGGACTATGATAGTAATTAAAGTAGATTTTCATGTCTGCCATGTGAGTAATTATTCTAATATATCATGGTGAATGATTTTGATTTCTAGGTGTTGAACATGAGTGTTTAACTAGGGTTTTCACTGAATAGTCTTGTCTCAGGCATGTTCCTTTATGTTCTATGGTAATGTAGAGGCAAAAAAGATGAAAGAATTTTCATGATACACTGTAGTTCCATAATTAATCATTTATTTACCACATATTTTTCTCACTTTTTCTTATAATAAAACAGCTACTAGCATAAACTTAGCCAGTGTAATAATTCTTCATTGTTTCTAAATGCCTTCAGTGTTTTTTCTTCATCATGAATTTATTGTTGGACTCAAACTGCTGGACCTAACTAGTCTAGAACAGCACTGTCAGAACAACACTGCTGGTTTTGTGACTTACCTGAAGGACATTCACAACACACAATGGTTCTGA